TCATAAGCTGTAGCGAGTGTGCAAAACAGTCCAAGCTAGCGACTCCCAAATCATCCATTGCATTTTTCGTATTAACTACACTGGATGAACCCGCAAAGCTATGACTTTCAGAGTGGTGCTACAAGTTAAAGAAATTTGTGGATGACACACCAGCACTTCAGTTTCAGATGCCATCAGAGCCATGCTGGATAAATGGAAAATCCCACTAGACAAAGCGCACACAATTGTGCAAGACAATGCAAATAAACTTGCTACTTCAATCTCTCAAAACTTTTTTTGCTAGTTGTTTCAAGTGTAAAATACTTCCAGATTGCAGATGTTTGTTAGTTTGCTTTGCAAGCTTGCAAGTTGCATTTGCTATCGTCACCCTCTTATGTGATGTTTACACTCCTGCTGCAAAGGGAATGCACAGACATCAGAAGTCGCTGTGGTCATACCCAATGAATGGCGAAAAAAACTGAGTGGCAGCATTAGCGTTACCCCAAAAACACTTCTAAATGGGAAAGAGCTATTGTACAAAACGATTTCATAGAAATAGGAGGTATCTTTTTACAGATTGCCAAAAACTAAATAAGTAAGTGTTGGACGTGAATTGGTCATATGTGGGTATGGATCCTTGCCGATCCCGAATATCGGATCGGTGCGCCTCTAGTATCGGTATCGGCAGATATTCAAAATTTTAATATGGGAATCTGGATTGGACTAGAAAAAAATAATGTCTCATCTGTAATTATCATTGTTATTTTAATCTGTTACTTTCCAGAGGAGGAACAATATGCATTCCTGGGAGAGATTGGGGTTTTGAGGCATGCAATATGAAGTAAAAAAGAAATGTGGCTCAGAACAATGCATTCCATAGATGCTTCCCCACACATGTTGGCTAAGAGCTTGGGGAGGGTTATAATGGAACAAGAATATTGTTGTTGATATGCTGTTCATTTCCAATGGTGTCAGTCTGCTTTTTGAAAGTCCTGATAGCAGGGCTATCCTCTGTAATGATTGTCATTAGGTGATCGTTCTTGTCAACATTGTTACCCTGACCCACAGCTGCAGAACCTGGGAGTGAATCCGGCCAACATTGGCTTCAGCTACCTGACCTTGGAGTCGGACAAGTTCATTTGCATCAGGGAGAAGGTGGGAGACCAGAACCAGGTGGTCATCATTGACATGAATGACCCCACAAACCCAATCCGCCGGCCCATCTCTGCCGACAGTGCCATTATGAACCCTGCTAGCAAGGTCATCGCCCTTAAAGGTATGTTGCCTTACCATGCAGTGCCTCAGTGTGCCCTTTTCATAGCCATGGCTGTCATTTGGCCCTGTTGCATTGTTAAAACTATTGTTAGCTGTTTCCTCACTTCAAGAAAGCGCTTAAGAAATTTTTACTGGAATTTTGGCATCATTTGACTGCTGGCCATTGTGACATTAGAAGCCTGGAAGATGTTGGTAAATACTGGGTTTTATTCTTAAGTTTTTGTTTCACCAGATAAATTGTCATTTAGAATTATTTCATGCACTTCTAACAGGTCAGAGATCACTGTTTTCACCTTGTTTCTGTTTCATTTCTCTGTTTTTAAACAGTCATTGTGTTTGTTATAAAATAATAGCTTCCTGCAGCATACCTATGAAACACATTCAGTTTTTTAATAAATGTGCTATTTCCTGCTATAGTGCAGTGTTTGTCACTTAAATGTATGAACTGTGTAGTAACTTGCCTTGCCAGCCACGTACTACATCAGTTGTGGGAAATAATGGTTTTTCCATGTGTCAAGAGTCGATTGTATGTAGTTTCCGAATTATAGTCTATAGAAACCCAATACTAGTCTAGCTACTATGGGCCACTCCAAAATTAAAGCTTGAATTGTTGATTTTGAAGTAAAAGATTAATATTTCAGTGTAATCTGCATTCAGCTGTTTTATCAGGCTGATAATTAAGTTTTAATGGAATATTAATACACGTCTTTTGATTATGTTGTAAAAATGGTGCCAATCAGCTGTTCAGTCTTTTCATCTTTGGTACAAGTTAATTCTCCCCCTACCGTCTAATGTACTATTTAGGTATCAGAATGTCAGTTAAAGCCAACAATTTAAATTTCTTTGCCATACCATAGTTAAAGTCTGTACCCTTCACCATTTCACTACTATATTTACCTGTCTTTCTCTTTCACTGGTCTATTCATCACATACCTGTTCAAGTAGAAATTACTTTGCCTGAAATATAAGATCTTTCCCAATTAATGTTTAATTTGATGTAACGGTACAATGGAAATTAACTACTTTAGACAATGCCGCCTATATAAAAAAGGATTAGTTTTTTGACAGCATAATAAAAAGTTTTATGTTCATATATCCTGGTCTGGTTAATTTTGGAATGGGGTGTTTTCCCAGTATCATTCAGCATAAAATTGTATGGTCTACTGAAACACACTAAACGGGTCGTTTAACTAAGACTATATAAGTACTGTAGTACGTTATTGTTGAGGGCACCAGTAGAGCACCTGCTGCCCCTTTGTCACACTGCTCCACTTCTTACACTGTTTTGCAATCTTTGCCTCCCCTTCCTTCTTTTCTTTTCCGAATCTCTTCTCTTCACTTCTGCTTTCTTGTCTTGTAGACGGTGAGTTCACCTCAGTGGGTTCAGATTCTCTCTTTCTGTGGCTTGGTGTACGTGGTGGTGTCCTCTCATAAAAGCTGACAAAGTTGGGAACCTCAGCCTTATATCTTCCATCCTCTCCCAGCCGGCTCTCATGCATTTCCGTTTATGTTGTTTGAGTATTTCTTTGCGACATGTTTGTTTTCATGTCTGCCCAAATCACCCATGAATATTGGCTCATCTCCTGAGATGATTGTCTTCCAAATGCACTCAAAATCTATGAGCAGCATTTTAATCAATTCTCAGCTTTGGAAAGGTATAAAGTTGACCTCTGAACTGATAAGTCCCATCTCCAACCTGGAAGGATAAGCTAAACTCACTCTATTAAGCTGATAGTGTGTAATGTATATACATTTGAAATATTTTTGTTCTTACAATTTTGGTCGAGACCTGTGAATATTTAGTGTTTCCATCAGTTCAGAGCAGCCTGAACTTAATGCCGTACCAACACAGGCAATCCACCCCACATACTTTTATGAGAACCCTGTGTGTGTAAGCATGATGTGTTGTATGCTGATAAGGACTGTGGTATGCATTATCAGATAATGTGAATACTGGAATAAGGGAGGAATATGACATGGAGAGTCTACATACACGTACCACCATGTAACTTTCCAGATTATGAGATGTGTGGATTCATTTGGATTCATTGTCGCAGATGTGTGATTTGTAAAATGGTTGCTACTGCCACTAGCGGCAATGTGTTTGCGAGTACAAGTGGGGTCACCGTGATGTGGTAAATAAGGGACTGACCGGACTAGATGACTGATGTCAGGAATGTGAAGACAGGAAATCATGAGAGAAGGTGCGTAATTCAGAAGCAACACTTGGGGGATGCCAAACCTGTTTTTAAAATTCCCATTTTATCTGGTATAAAAGTAAAGAATGCATACTTGAAGCAAACTCTTAGTGAAGAAATTAAAACACAATCCATATCCCAATATCAGAATCAAATGTGGTATGATTTGTTGCTGATTGCGGTTTTATTCTCGGTGGGATATTTTACATGGGTTTATATTGAACTTTGTCCTTAAAGGTGTTCTTGTTAAGTCTCTTACATTTTTTAATTAAGGTTAAGTACACTGCTTAGAGTTTAGTAAACCTTCACTAAACATGGTTACTAACTAAAGTTACTGCCAATATTTATGCAGTGCTTGTCTGATTTAGCGTCTGCTTGTTAAACTTAAGATGGGTGATAGAAAATCCATTATATAATTTTTTTTTTAATATTTGCCGGCATCTATGTATTTAACCAGTCTACACCCCTGCAGAACCGAAGACTCTTCACACACAGTGCATTCTGTGAGAGCTACAGAACCTCTATAGTGTCCTCTTGCTGGGGAAGAGAAACCCCCTTAAGGCTTTGCTGGCTTTCTGGTGTAAGGGCCATTAGGTTCCTGAAGGAGCACCTTCAGAGAAGCCAGCTTTTCATTCTTTAAAGCTTTGAATAACCGATCATCATCCTTTCAAAAACAAAACTCGCAAAACAAATAACACCCACGTTAACTGAAAATAAACTGCATCCGTAGTTCCAGTTAAGTGTAACGTGGTAATATTTTAGATGAGTTGTATCGGTATGTGATGGGATACTGCCACAGACATTAGCTTGCCAGCATGCAGATGTCTCTGGTTCCAACCCCACCCTTTTTTCATTGTTCCGCCCGCCTTCAGCTGCCAAGACGCTGCAGATTTTCAACATTGAAATAAAGAGCAAGATGAAGGCCCACACCATGACGGAGGACGTGATGTTTTGGAAATGGATCTCTGTGAACACGGTGGCCCTAGTCACGGAAACGGCCGTCTACCACTGGAGCATGGAAGGCATCTCTCAGCCTGTCAAAGTGTTCGATCGACATGCCAGCCTGGCAGGCTGTCAGATAATCAATTACAGGACGGATGAGCAGCAAAAGTGGCTTCTTCTCATAGGCATCTCTGCACAGGTGAGCCGTCACACAAGTGTGCAGTCACAAAGGGTCGCCCTATACAATGTTGCAGTGTGGCAATTTAAGCACACAGTGCCCTCACTGGATGATAATTCACACGCAGTGCCTTTAATTGATGTCACTTTACAACGCTACTCTTTGCAAAGCTGGGTATTCTGATTGACACCTATTTGTAAGTGGAATATCATTCAAGTTTCTTGCCTTGCATTATGTAAACACACCTTGGACTTTCCCCATTAACATTCAGCAGCATCAATTCTTCTGGCACCACTGCAGAGAAAAGAATAAATTTCTGTATCAGCAATTCCAAGAAGATTTGTTGTGATCATGCACAGACCATCAGCATTTTAGACTGGTCTACCACTGCATCTGGTTGCCCTAGTGTAGCTGCAAATGTGTAGCATTATCAGAGGATCGGTATATAAATAATCACAGCATTGGATAAACACTTAAATTAGTGAACAGCAACAGAACACGGCAATCCACAGTGTCAGTTTATGTGCAATTATTCCTCCTATTACTTTATAACATTCACATTTTATTCCTCATGTCTCCAGTAATAGCTTGTGTGACTTCAAGTAACTTGCTGATAATCAAACATCTTTTGTCAAGCCTCATTTGCGCAACTGGTAGTCTTGCCTCTAGGCACTGCATTGTTTCCATCATCTTGTCGTATCCATTTTAGAAACTGTTTAATAGTCTTTTTATTGATGACTTAATATCTGATATTTATACATTTAAAAATGCCTCGGTCTAGCATCTACAACGAGGTATATGACTTGCTTGGGATGTACATTTTTAAAGGTGTGCATAAAACACTGAGCATGAATGCATACATAAAGAGTAAAGAGTAGGTCAGACACTGAGTATTTGGGACATTCTTCATCATAACAGGCCCATTGCTGACAGCTTCAGGGGGTCCGGAGACTCAATATTGCCAAACTGCTTAGTAGGCAACTGGTCTTTTGATAGCTTTTATTTTCGTAGTGCATCAACATTCAGTTTTTGCCAGATTCAGGAAACGTGTTGAGTTTGAAGAACTTCAAGGATGATCAGACCTCACTGAGGTGTTTTGTAAATATCATAAGCTGTATGTTTGGCATTCAGTGACTTTTGTTGAAGAGAATGATGTTGCTGAATTTTTAACTGCACTTACTTATTGTTCCCCTCCCTGCTTGTGTATGGTTCATATCCTTAACCCAGCTGATGACTCGGGTCTCCTTTTCCCTATTGCAAAGCAAACTTTGTGGGAAACACTGCAAGTTAATCTGCTTTACAAGAAACAAAATATATTTATCATATATTAGAAACATCTTAGATGATCATATTTTATGCTGAGTGTGTTGAATGTTCCCCAGTGGAAAACAGCTGCAGGATCAATTGAGGCTTTGTAAATGTAGTTGTAATAGGAAAGGCCTTTGATGGGACCTCTCCTATGTGCCCGACAGCAAAACCGTGTGGTGGGGGCCATGCAACTCTACTCTGTGGACCGGAAGGTGTCTCAACCCATAGAAGGCCACGCTGCCGCCTTTGCTGAGTTCAAAGTGGAGGGTAATGCCAAGCCCTCCACGCTCTTCTGCTTTGCTGTGAGGAGCCAGGCTGGTGGCAAGGTGGGATAGACTGATATTGCTGTGTTGCACCTTAAGGGTTCACTTACCGTTTGTGGGTTTATCCACATAGCTGTAGCAAGGATGTATGCTTACTGCCCCTGCCAGCCCTGAAGTTGGCTGTTGTTTTGATTCGATGATTGTTTGTTGACATTTTAAGGTTATGATCAGGGTTCAGTATGTTTTATTTCATAAGGGCAGTAATGATGATCACCACTGAAAGCACTGGAACTGAGCCTGTGGCTTCCAGTGGCTTCATGGATTAAGACCATATGCACATCCACCTTCCACCTTCCAGCTGCATATAATAGAAGTGGGTCAACCTGCACCTGGGAACCAGCCATTTGCCAAGAAAGCGGTCGACGTGTTCTTCCCCCCTGAGGCCCAGACCGACTTCCCCGTGGCCATGCAGGTAACGGTGATGACTGAGTCCCACAAGCCTCCTGGTGGCTCTTGAGGAATATTTTACAATGGTGCCTGGAGCAGCCTGAGGCTCATGGGTTTTAGGATATATGACAATTAGCTACAAATCGATAGCTCACTTAACCGGCTACATAATTAGCCCAATAAACAGAATAGGGATAGAGGCAGAGAGGGAAAAAATCAATTGTGTAACCAAAATCAGTCTGTAAACATCAGAGTGATCCTCTGTTTTTTAATATCAGTCGGAAATCAAGGATCTTGATTTGTATGCCGATTAAGGATGTGGTTAAGGAATAAGGTTGGTATTTTGTGACAATATTCAGTTTGCAATGTAACCAATTTGTGCTGTTAATGTTTTGTTTAAAACCTGTCCACTGAGTTTAATGGGTGACTTTGACAGATAATTTTAATGGTTGCTAGTATTAGTTCATTTAAATAGCAATTCCAATGATTAATATAAATAATACTTTAAATGACAGCAATTTAAATAGTTTTAAATAATAAATAATACTCATTTATTGCATATTGTCACAAAACACCCTCCATAAAGGAGCGCCTTTTATTTGACATTTCTGAGCAAGACAATCTGTATTCAGCAAAAAAGGCTACACTGTAGGTTGCATCTACCCGAACCCGTACAATGCTTAAAACCACATCTACTGAACAGCGAAAACAGGACATATTTCATTATATTGGGAGTACATATGATCTTTGTTTAATTGCAGGAGTTACACCTAGCTTTGCTGTAATTTACTGCATTGACAGTCCACTTATTCATCCAATTTCCCTCATATTTAGATTGGTGTCAAACATGGCGTTATCTACTTGATCACCAAATACGGCTACATCCACATGTATGATCTGGAAACAGGAGTGTGCATCTACATGAACCGCATCAGTGCTGAGACCATCTTTGTCACCGCCTCGCACGAGCCCACCTCTGGCATCATCGGGGTCAATAAGAAGGGACAGGTAGGCCATGTCCTTCATACCTACACAGTCAGCAGCTGGGGATCCGCAGCCTTTAATCCTGAAGGTCACAGTGTTTGCAGCTGGCCAAATACCTCTGCCTCCACAAGTCAATAAAATGGATATTTCTTGAAGTTTCTACAGCTTTTATCACCATTAAGCTATGGAATGAAGTCAAAATGGCTGAATGGTGTGGTGTGTGACTCTGAATCATGAACTTGACCCTCCATGTCCTTAATTAATTATCCTGTGGGCCAGTTAGCAATCATATGTTCCTGGCTTCTTATACTGTATCATAGGTGGTGTTTGAAAGATACAGGACATGTATGTGAACCTCATACCACTGCCTGTGTACTTCTAGGTGCTGTCTGTGTGTGTGGAGGAGGAGAACATTGTGAACTATGCCACCAACGTGCTGCAGAACCCAGACCTGGGCCTGCGCATGGCTGTGCGCAGCAATCTGGCTGGAGCAGAGGAGCTCTTCGCCCGCAAGTTCAACACGCTCTTCGCCCAGGGCAGCTACTCTGAGGCGGCCAAAGTCGCAGCCTCTGCCCCCAAGGTGAAGTATCACATGCCGGATTGTATCGCTGAGTCAGAAGTCAGACTGACTGGCCCCAAAGCTGTTAGTGTAGAGCAGGCTTTCCAATTCAGTCTCACCTATTTAACTATTTCGATTTTATATCCCAGGGGCTTTTAACCTGTATTGCACGTCAAATTCATGTAACGTGAAAAATATTTAAAGGAAACTCTTATTCGATTCTTATTTAACAGTTACCTATGCAATCATGTGCTCTCTAGGTCCCTAACTCTGCTCTGTTTTGGGGGGGTTCAGTAAAGGTTAAAGTCTTGAGCCCTGTTCACGCCTGGTATTAACATGCGTCCTGGGTGATCCGATCACAAGTGGACAGCCCTAAATACGTTAGTTCACGCCTGGCATTAACGCTTGTAATCGGAACTCACTTTCCCGCAACTTATTTAAATAAGCACGTAAATCATTTCTGTATGCAGAATCTGCCAAACATTAAAAGGAGGAGAAGAAATCAAAAGCTATTTGCTTTGGCTATTGAAATAAATAAGAATATCCATAAATAAATAAATATTTGAATAATTAATGTGGCCTTTTATTTTTAAATAATGCCATAAAAAGTATATTTCCTGTTTGTCTTCTACGTATATTCTTTAAATTGTTCGTAATAATGTGATTTTCAATAGACATTCATTATCATAAAATATTACTTCACATAATGCAAATATATTTACTTAAATTCAAAATATATTTCACAATAAGTTCTACTTTCTACCTGTAGACATGCATTTTTACATCCCGTCAACACAGTCCAAATGTACGCGATAAAAGGGTCTTTCAGTACTAAGATATTAGGGCAGGCTAAATACTTTTCTATTCAAGGGCAAAGGGTTCAGTCTGTAATGCATTAGGTTAATACTTTAACATTGGTTGCCATATGATAATGTTTTGGCTTTTAATCATAACCAATGAAGCTCAAAATTTGAGAAAATTTCAATGAAGCGATTCATTGTTTCACTGGTGTGGGACCGAATTTCTGACCAGGAGTTCATGCTCCTGGACAGTCCAGTATAAAACTATATAAACAATTATACTATTATTATATGTTTCTACTGACATATCCTTTTTCTAGGCTGTTGAACACACATTCTTTCCTACATGCTTTAAATTCACGTTCATGTGATTTTTACCGGCATGGTTCACCAGTATTTGTAAAGTGTGGACCAGACCAACTTTCACATAAATAAGGAAGCTTCATCAAAGTGCGCATTAAATATGATCTGTGCAATTTCCAAAACATCTTTAACAAATCAGTTCTTGGACAATTTATTTTTCCCAAATTTGCATGGAATATTAATAATGTACACTTTTGAGAAGATTTCCATGCGAATGAGTCGCGGCAGTCCTATATTAAACCAACTTCCCAGCACATTCAAACTTATTTTTTGGTCTTGTAGGAAAAAAATGCATCGTTATTCGCAGTGCAATTTACTAAACAGTGGCCCATTCTGCACTGACAGATGTTCTGACATAAATCATATCAAATACCACTTGCGTATTTAATGTGTACTTAATGTGTTTTGGGTGCGTTCACACCTGTAATTAGCGCTGTCCACTTGTGATCGGATCACCCAGGACTCATGTTAATACCAGTTGTGAACAGAGCCTTCATCTGTTGTTATTTATAAATATGCGCTTTGCAAAATGCAGCATTTGAAATATTTACCAAACTACAATTTACTAAAAACTGATCAGTCCTGATAACCATCATGTGGAAAATCTTTTGTTGGAAAATTTGTGTTCAGTTACATGTTTTTGTATCCCAGCATTCAGTTGATTTGTAATTAAAAGAATATTTTAGATATGGCCCATTTTCTGGCATGCAGGATAATTTATTGAATAATTTATTGGCTTTGCTGCTGCTTGGCCAGGAGCTAATTATTGCCTGGGTAAAGCTAGCTGTCATCTCGCTTTCTGTGACTTGTACTGAAGTAGTGCTGGGACATTGAAGACCATCAAACTCTGACAGGAGACCTTTGTGGTATCGTCCTGGAAGTGTGGCGTTTGTTTGAAAAGTGAATGTGAAACATACACCTAATGGCTGTCGGGCGCAAAGCAATCGATTGAATGCCTACTTTCCCCCTAGGGCATCCTGCGTACAGCAGACACCATCCGGCGGTTCCAGAGTGTCCCGGCCCAGCCTGGCCAGGCCTCCCCCCTGCTACAATATTTTGGTATTCTGTTGGATCAGGGCCAGCTCAACCGACTAGAGTCCCTGGAGCTCTGCCGGCCCGTCCTGCAGCAAGGTCGCAAACAGCTCCTGGAGAAATGGCTGAAGGAGGACAAGGTACCTGCTGCCCGCCCTGGACATGGCGAACTTGGGGAGTCCTGATCGGCAGCTTGGCTGCTGCTTGCTGTTGGCTGTTGGGCCTTAACTACTTGCCACTGTTTGGGGAAACTGCTTCCTGTCCAACTTTTCCCTTGTGGACCCTAAAAAATGGCTTCTGTTCTGAGAAGGGGTGCTCACCCTTAGTGTCAGGAACGCTAAGCTGGCCCTGTGTTTGCAGCTGGAGTGCTCTGAGGAGCTGGGTGACCTGGTGAAGAGTGCAGACCCCACTCTAGCCCTCAGTGTTTACCTGAGGGCCAATGTTCCCAACAAGGTCATCCAGTGCTTTGCTGAGACTGGCCAGTTCCAGAAAATCGTGCTTTATGCAAAGAAGGTAAGAAACAAGATTTCTGTGATGCGAATCTCTGTATTACCCTTGCAAGAGGAACTGAAGTTACCTGAACACATTCAGTGTCCCAAGATCTAGTATGGGAAATAATAATAGTCAAATTCTTACGAGCATGCAAATATTGTTTTTCCTGATTTGCGGGTCCACTCCTATGTGAACTTGGGTATGTTCACCCAGAATTGCAGCTTTCCCCACATATGCTGCTTATGAAAGGGTCCTTAGACAAACATTGGAGTTTCTCTTCCCCCTAGGTGGGTTACACCCCAGACTGGGTCTTCCTGCTGAGAAGTGTGATGCGTGTGAGTCCTGACCAAGGACTGCAGTTCGCACAGATGCTGGTCCAGGATGAGGAGCCACTGGCCAACATCAACCAGGTACTTTTCACTTCCTGACTCCCTGCTACTGTGCTGTTGTCACAGATGGGAGAGCTATTCCTGGTATGTGCTCTGCTTGGGGCATGAGGCTCTCACCTAGAGCGAAGACCAGCAGCTCACACTCATCTATGTAATTAAGGATCATTGTAGGCAAAAGCTTTTTTAAGATTCTAATGGGTTTGGATGCTGTTCAACCAAATAGTTACTTCAGCATTAGTTCAAATACAAGAACTCGTGGCCATAGGTGGAAATTAGCGGGAGAACATTTCAAACTGGATTTAAACTGGATTCTTTACACAGCGTGTAGTCAGAGTATGGAATAGTCTTCCTGATAACGTAGTGCAAGCTGAATCCTTGTGTTCCTTTAAATCAGAGCTAGATGAGATTTTAGCAACTCTGAGCTATTAGTTAAGTTCTCCCCAAGCGAGCTCGATGGGCCGAATGGCCTCCTCTCATTTGTATAGTTCTTATGTTCTTATGAGTTGGCCTCCGTTAGCAGATTTAATTGCAATATTGGAATGTCTGTTTTTTCCCAATACCAGGGTTAAACACAACGTTAAACTTGATAGTCCCCAATTAACAACATAAATAAAAATAACGTGATGAAACCTCATGCAGTTGAAAGTAGAGGCTTATATCAGGGGTTAAATGAAGTAAAAAGGGTAATGCATTTTCTCAGCTCAGCTCTCAGTCATGAAAGAGTCAAACATTTGTTAGCATATGGAACCCTCTTGTAATCTCCCTATGCTCTGCCTGCGTGTCTGCGTGTGTTTGCCTGTTTGCCCAGATCGTGGACGTTTTTATGGAGAGCAGCCTGGTCCAGCAGTGCACCTCCTTCTTGCTTGATGCGCTAAAGAACAACAGGCCTACCGAGGGCCATCTGCAGACCCGGCTTCTGGAAATGAATCTCATCCATGCCCCACAGGTACGGCCTTGTGGGTTCTGTCGCCACTCACGCTGTTTACATGCAAGCACACATGCAAATCAAATTCAGCACTGAGATGGGATGGTAGGACCCCACTCATCACAGCAGTGAGGAATCAGACCATCGGGTTATGTTGTATGTGCATAGCAGTTATTTTTCCTGTTTCCTTTATTTTTTCTGTGCTTATTTTATTTATGCATTGTCTTTTAATGTCCTCTGTTTTGTGTACTGAAAATGTATGCACCCAATCCAAACGTTTTATTCCCGTGACACGTCTGTGTTTGTGTTGTCTATGATTTGTGACAGGTGATTGTGAGATCTGATTTTTAAGGATGGAATGTGTGTGCTTTTTTAAAATGATAATGATAGCGTTTTTATGATGAAGTGCTGAGTACCTGTGATTCTGGTGGTTGTACATGTTTGTTTGTTTGTTTGGGAGAACAGGTGGCTGATGCCATCTTGGGGAACCAGATGTTCACACACTACGACCGTGCCCACATCGCCCAGCTGTGTGAGAAAGCTGGTCTGCTACAGAGGGCGCTGGAGCACTACAGTGACCTATACGACATCAAGCGTGCTGTGGTCCACACACACCTGCTCAACCCTGAGGTCAGGACCTGTGGCATGGCATACGTTTGCCATAATAATGAGGGTATATGTTCCCATTGATCTGTTGGTATGTCTGACCACATTATATATAATATTCTCCCCCCATCTTTTTACAGTGGCTGGTGAACTTCTTTGGCTCTCTGTCAGTGGACGACTCCCTGGAGTGCCTCAGAGCCATGCTGTCGGCCAACATCAGGCAGAACCTGCAGCTCTGTGTTCAAGTCGCATCTAAGTACCACGAGCAGCTCGGCACACAGGCACTGGTGGAGCTCTTTGAATCCTTCAAGAGTTATGAGGGTGAGGGCTGTCGCATGCCTCCTGTGTGGAGGTCAAATGCGACATGCATGTTTAAAGAGAGTGGACCATTATTGAAAAGTAGCTAATGTTATGGCCAAACTGTGTTGTCGTAGCAACCAATGACTTAGATGTCGTTAGACAGTATTCTCTTAAAATTTCTGTATATAGAATAAATATTAGTCTTATATCTCTCTAAAAAAAAACACCTACTATTATTCAACTTCTGCAAGTTGAACCAGGTGACTTGTGAAAGATTAAAACTGACAGTTTGATAATTCTATAAGGTTTGGAGTTTGTTTTTGTGATTTGTAGTGGAGACAAACAATCAAAAGTCTCTGAAAAACCATCATAGGAAGAGCAGGACTAAGTGGCTGGATCCTGTCATTACTTTCTTTTGTTTTCCCGTTACTGTGGAAACAGATTCTTTTACTATTGATTGAGAGAACTTGGCTAATCTTTCTCTTGTTTTTAGGGCTGTTCTACTTCCTTGGTTCTATCGTCAACTTCAGCCAGGATGCTGACGTCCACTTCAAATACATCCAAGCTGCGTGCAAAACAGGCCAGATCAAAGAAGTAGAGAGGATCTGTCGTGAGAGCAACTGTTACGATGCTGATCGAGTCAAAAACTTCCTCAAGGTACCAAATTTCAAACTGCCAACTATTGTTTTTTTGAAGGTGCTCTTTATCCGGAGTGATTTACATGATTGGCAGGTCCTTGGATGGAATATTATTTGCTGGAGCATTTCAAGCTGTGAGACCTTCTTTGATTAGTCATAGTGCCAGCGCTAAGGATTATGGGAAAGGCAGGGCAATGAAGCTTCATAATGACAAGTCTACTTAATACCTTATTGCCAGCATTGGTACTTTAATTGTGAGAATATGGAGACAAAACTTAAAATGACACACTTGTTGCACATTTGATGCAGATGATTGTTCTTGTTGCCTTTCTCATTTAACCTGACATCTTAAATTGCGGGGTTGTCACTTGACCATATCCTGTTTTATGTTTGCTTTTAGGAGGCCAAGTTGACTGACCAGCTGCCTTTAATCATAGTGTGTGACCGATTTGACTTTGTCCATGACCTCGTCCTGTACCTGTACCGCAACAACCTGCAGAAGTACATTGAGATCTATGTGCAGAAGGTAAAAGTGGCCATCAGAACATGACACAACAACTGCCATATTACACCAGGAGGGAGTTGCGTTTCTCCTAACACAATATAAGTCATCAGTGTGTAGCATTAGCCTGAAATCAACCAGGTGAATATCGCCAGACGGTTCAATTATAGGAAGAATGGGTATTTGCATTAGTTCATTATAAATGATTATGCCTTTGATTTGTCTTGGTCATGTGACATGTCTTGGTCAATCATTGCATCTCATCCCATTGTCATGGGTTTTCAAATATATCAGCGTTTTTTTTGCAGCCATTGTAGCCCACAAGGTGAGAAATTTTCCCTGACATGCAAAGAAGCTGGATATTAACAAGACATGCTATGTCTACCAATAAATGAACGACGGGGAGATAATGATACAAATTTTCTCATCTGTGTAAATGCAGTTTCATTGTATTTTAAAATAACCGTTTAAGCAAATTTTGTTTCAGTGTTTGCATTGTCACTGCTTAAGGGCTTTATCAGGGCAAACACTGCGTTAGAATACTGTTGTGTGCAGAAATAGATACTGTAAGGTTTCCTAAATGCAAATTTCAGGTAAATTATCTTCAAAGAAAAGCTTAGCATTTTCTGATGCCTCAAGCTCTATTGTTAATGCTATAGTTGAATTCTTTGTGACTTTCAAAAAAACATGCCTTTAACTGAATTGGTTCTAAATTGCCCTCAGTGTATGATTGTATATGTGCCCTTCTATATGTTTGCATCCCCTCCAAAGTATCCTCTACCTTGTGCTACCTGAAATATATGGCCCAGGCTCACAGTTGACCATGTCCTTGAATAGTGGTTATGAAAGATCAGTGTGTAGAGCTTGGAAGAAGGGGGTTGCTGATGTGAATGCTTTTGGTTTGGTAGGTGAACCCCAGCCGCCTGCCTGTGGTTATTGGAGGACTACTCGATGTGGACTGCTCTGAAGATGTGATCAAGAATCTCATCATGGTGGTGCGGGGGCAGTTCTCTACTGATGAGCTGGTGGCCGAGGTTGAGAAGAGAAACCGGTAAACAGTGGATTAAAAAATAACCCTCCAGTACTAATATTGATAGTTTTTAGCCTTTGCTTTTATGTCCAGGGTTATGACTTTTGATTAACAGGAAGCAGTGGGCTTTACATGTCTCCACCACCTTGACCTGAAGACTAGTGGCTAACAGCAGTAGGATGTAGTATGCTAGTTAAGAAATCTGACTGTAGGAAGTTAACCTAAAAGGTCCTTGCAGATTCAGGTACTTCTGTATTAATTAGTAGCAGCTATTTTCTTTGCAAGGTTTTTTTAGATAAAGATTAAACACATTTAGAACTGGACTCACAGAATTTTACACCATTGTGGATGTTCCTCGAGATTGTGGACAATAGTGTCTTTGTTTTCTGTCAAAGGCTGAAACTACTGCTGCCATGGCTGGAATCCAGGATCCATGAAGGCTGTGAGGAGCCCGCTACCCACAATGCACTGGCCAAGATTTACATTGACAGCAACAACAATCCCGAGCGCTTCCTGAGGGAGAACCCGTTCTATGACAGTGCTGTGGTGGGCAAGTACTGTGAGAAGCGTGACCCCCACCTGGCCTGCGTGGCCTATGAGAGAGGCCAGTGTGACTTGGAGCTCATCAAGGTCTGTACCCTTGTCTCCACTCAACAGTCATTACCTACTAGTTGGTTGTATTTATGGTTCATATAGTGAATTCCCTTCCAATACAAATTAAAAGGTTAAATGGCTGTTAGAAGAGGCCTGTGTCAGCATATTCCTGCTTCCTTCTGTTGTCACCTGTTTAGGTTTGCAATGAGAACTCCCTGTTTAAGAGCGAGGCTCGCTATCTTGTGCGTCGGAAAGATCCAGAACTGTGGGCCAATGTGCTGGAGGAGAACAACCCATTCAGGCGGCAGCTAATTGATCAGGTAATTCCCATCCTGCTGTGAGAACTGTACGAGAGAACTTCGAACAAGACTTCCAGTGGTGGGAGGGGCAAAGAAAAACCTATTGCTGGATGGATATGATACATTGATAGGTAGTATGGATGACTTTCAGCACAACAGGTTTCAGGGATCCAGGTCTTTGTCATTTGTCACCACAGGATCTGGTTCATGCGTCTGAAAGGCGTCAATATTATGTATCCACAGAATTGAATCTATCCAAGACCTATAGTCGTAATTTACATTTTAAAACATAATTTCATCAATAAATCATGTTAAATGGGTTAAACACTCGTGCTATAATGATAAAACAACTATTGCTGACCATAAATAAGTTGTCCCTTTCATTTCTTACACTTCTAGCAGTTTCAAGGTAACATTTAGTCTTAAATGTTTATCGGAGCTTCGAATTACTGAAGTAACTCAGTATTAATCCAAATTATCCCTTGATACACTATATCAGTGGTTCCCAAACTTTCTCTGCAGGGCCCCCCTTTTCTAGATAGGAACATTATTGAGCCCCCCCATTCAAACTAC